GTTGTTTATGGTTCATTTTATATAATTAATGATTCAGTCAAGACCATACATACATACATACATACATACATACATACATACATACATACATACATACATACATACATACATACATACATACATACATACATACATACATAGATACATACATAGATACATACATACATACATACATACATACATACATACATACATACATACATACATACATACATACATACATACATACATACATACATACATACATAAATACATACATACATACATACATACATACATACATACATACATACATACATACATAAATACATACATACATACATACATACATACATACATACATACATACATACATACATACATACATACATACATACATACATATATACATACATACATACATTGAAAAAGTCCAAAACTAAAGATAAGTGGATTAAAAAAAACATTTGAATATGACGATGAGGATGACATACCAAGTAAGTTGTTTATAGTTCATTTTATATCATAACTGATTCAGTCAAGACCACAAACATATATATATATATATATATATATATATATATATATATATATATATATATATATATATATATATATATATATATATATATATATATATATATACATATATATATATATATATATATATATATATAAATATATATATATATATATATACATATATATATATATATATATATATATATATATATATATATATATATATATATATACATATATATATATATATAAATATATATATATATATATATATATATATATATATATATATATATATATATATATATATATATATATATATATATAGTATATATATATATATATATACATACGTATATTAAATCAAGTTTTTATTTTTGATTTATCAGTTTGGCATAAGATTGAAGTTAAAGAAAGGGATTTTATATATATATATATATATATATATATATATATATATATATATATATATAATATATATATATATATATATATATATATATATATATATATACATTTTCTTCCCCAGAGTTATGCAAATCCTCAAGTTAACTAAAAAGTTTAAACTTAGATTCTGTGGCATCAAATTCAAGTAAAGTAGTTGATGATGACAATAGGGAAAAGTGTAAATGCATTTTACACTTTTCTCTATTTTCATTACCAATTTTCCATTTATCAAAAGGAAAATTGGTGATGGTGGAGTTTCGTTTCGAGAGATGACAAATAAACGTGATTTTTTTGTTAACTTATTTTTGTTTTTGCATGAAACAAAGTTCATTGATAATTTTTCAACAATATTATTTTCATTTAGAGATTATACAGCAAGACTGTTTAAGCCACACATGTATGGAACTGAGAATGTAAAACGGCCAAAAAAAACATTTGTTTAAATTTGATGATTCTTGAATCTATATATCTAATTTTTGCTTATTGCTTCTTTTGATTTGATTTCTTATTTAGAACTTCAATATGCTTTGTTTATAGACTTGCAGAAAATTTTTTGGCAAATCCAAGAATCACAAGCACAAATCCTTGATAAGCTTAAAATAATTTAACAAAGTGGAGATGTTGATTTTGATGTGAATGTTGATGATATTGGTAGAAACCCTATTAATTCGATTGAGCAATTTGATGTAATGGAAAATATTTTAAATGCAAGTTCTAATGCAAGAAAACGCAAAGTAAACCATAAAATATAGTAACAAGGTCAGTAATTTTTGCAAACCTCAAACACTTTTAGGTTGGCAGTGAGGTCAGCATTGCCGAATACTCGTTTTAATTCCGAGGGCTTATATATATTTGTACTTATAAAAATTTATTTAAAAAAGTGGACACTTATGTAGTCACAATTTTTAGTCTCATAATAAGACTTTATATGGTTTTTAACTTTGGTTCAATATTTAATCTTGTTTTAATTCTTTTGATAAAATGTTACTCAAATGAGAGGTGTAGGAGGAGCTACTCCACAGAAAACTGTCAAAAATGTTTTGAATGCTGTTATGACTCAAGAATTACAATCATTATTCAGCAAGGATGGCAGAAAAGGGAAACGAAAGTTTACAAGCACTGCTCATTATAAATGCATTAAAGGTGAGTATTGAATACGAGTTGAAAGCCATAGCATCTTAATAAATTGTAAGGACCAAAATATTTTTGATCAGAACGTGAAACAGTAGTTCATTACTAATTTTCTGCTATTCATTGATTGCAATTTGATTTCAATTGTTTTTTGATATCTTTAATTCAGTTTTTCTATATATAACATTCAAAAAGCTGATAACATATTTTTATTGCTTAATTTGTATTTATAAAACATGTCCTTTGATTTACAGCAAATTTTAGGATGAATATTTTTTCAGATGCTATTGTTGGAGACAAAAATGGATATAATGCAAGCAGAATAAGATACTGATATTCAAGATAATTTCCTTTCGAATGATGACCCCGATTTTGTTCCTAACGCTCATCATTTCAATATGGAAAATATCTTAAATAATGACGCCGATGAAACGAATGAAATACTAACCGCAATGGACAAAACCAATATTGAGCCTGGTACCTAAAATTCCGAAATACAACTTGTTGAATATGAAGAAATTGAAATAGGACCATCTCAATCCGAAAAACCTCAGTTAGAGCAAGTTGAAAATGATAACTTTGTGAACACTTATATTGGATCCTCTTTCGTGATAGACCCAAAAAATATAGCTTTCAAAAATATTTTGTGGCGCAAGAAAAATATTCAGCTAGAGAAAAAACAAATACAATTCAGAGGAAATGAAGAATTACCGGCGCGTTTTTATGAATTGAAAACTCCTTATGAATGTTTTAAATATTTCTTGGAAGATAAATTGTATCAGGGAATTGCAAATACAATTAATCTTCATGCTCGCCAAATGAATATTTCAACAAAATTTGTAACTACGCCGGCAGAAATACAAAAATATGTCGGAATTTTGTTTTATATGTCCATATACAGATACCCAAATACTCGCGAATATTGGGGAGAAAATTAGTTTGAACCAGTTCAGAAAAATTTGACCAAAAATCGATTTGAAGAAATATGTCGTTATTTGCATTTCAACGACAATACCAAAATGCCGGCGCAAGGGGATTCCAATTTTCATCCGATATTCAAGATGCGGCCAATTATTGAATACTTCAATATACGTTTTCAGTCGGTACCAATGTCTCAACGCCTGTGTGTAGACAAACAGATTTGTTCCACAAAAATGGTTTCGCATATTTGGCAATACATGCCCGCAAAACGACATAAATGGAGCATGAAACTGTTCGTGTTGTGCGACACCTATGGGTTTTCATACGGATTTGAGTTATCTTCTGGAGCAAGTGACAATAAAATTCCAAATGGAGCACCGTATTTAGGTGCAGCAGCCAATGTAGTTTTAAGATTATCGCAAATAATCCCTGATCACATGAATTACATTGTATATTTTGATAATTATTATTCGACTTTGCCATTGATGATATATCTGTATAGCAGAGGAATATATTCTTTGGGAACCGTTCGGGCAAATCGAATTGCAAATTGCAAATTGCCAACAGATAAAGAAGATGCAAAGAAACCTCGAGGATTTTCAACTGAATATGTAGGGTCTTGTTATGGAGTAGACTTGTCGACTACACTGTGGAAAGACAACAAATGTGTTCGTTTGGCCTCAACATACGTAGGAGTATTACCATTTAAAAATGAAAGTAATAACACCCTGAAGGCATCAAGATATGATCGTGCCTAAAAGAAGAGAATAGAAATTGATTGCCCAAATATCATCCGCGAATACAATGCACACATGGGCGGTGTCGACCTAATGGATGGTCTTTTGGGTCGATATCATATTCGCATGAAAACAGTAAAGTGGACTAGTCGTTTCTTTTATCATGTGTTGGACTTGGCCATGATAAATGCATATTTATTACATAAGAGGATAAACAGACAAAATAAAGCATGCAATATACAACTCGCACAACTTAGAAAAGAAGTGGCTGCAATGCTTTGCAGATTTCAAACAGATGAACCGCAAAAGAGATCTGTTGAAAGACCGCGATCAATAAATGCAGAAGAAGATCCCGCACCTAAAAGACTGGGCAAGAGGACACATTTACCAGCTGCAGACTTCCGATTTTATGGCAAAGAACACTTTCCTCAGTGGCTGGACAGATCCGGAAAGCGCCAATGTAAATTGCCTGGGTGCAAATCAGAAACGCAATGCATTTGCTCTAAATGTAGTATAAATTTATGTTGCACTGCAGCTAAAAATTGTTTTGCAATATTTCATAAACAATGATATAAAATTTTTTGTAATTATTAAATAATAAAGAATAAAAAAGAAAATATTTATAATTATTTGATCCATCATAAAACTAAATTTTTGTATTAACTTCCCAGGGCCGCCTCAAGGCGGAGATCAAATAATCGGGACTAGAGGTCATATTTTTTACTTTAGAAAAATAATTAGCTTGTATTTGAGTTATAATAGCCTCAATTTAGCCTGGCATAATTTTTTGGTGAAGAAAAAAAATAGGGGCACAGGAGGGTTAAGTTCAATTTTTCAGAAAAAAAAAGACTTGAATTTCTAATAAAAACTAAACTTGTTACAAACTGACTGAAAAAACTAAACAAAATACAAATGCTCTTTTCCAATTTTGAGAGAGGTAATTGGATTTTGGCTGCATTACTTAATCATAGCATAATAAACTTAGTTTTAGCATGATAAACTTAGTTTTAAATTCAATTTTTTAGAAAAAAAAAAAGACTTAAAATTCTAATAAAAAATAAACTTGTTACAAATTACATCTTATGTTTTAGACAAAAGCCATATAAAACCTTAAATTTATATTTTACTTCTAAAAATATTTATACTAAATAATACTAATATTTATTTATAAAAAAGAAATTTTTTTTTTTTCAAATTTAAGCATCGTTAAACCAAAAAAAACTTTTATTATTATATATTTATATATAATAAGAAAACAAAATATAGAAAAAAAAATAAATATTTACAAAAACAATTCAATTACATCTGCATCATCATTTGGTAGATTAACAAACGACAAAAATTATATATATAGCATATTATTTTCTCATTGCTCCCTTATTTTCCCACTGCTTAAAGGATCCGCACTATATAATTAAATAAAAAGAAAGGGCGGGGAGCTTTTGCTCTTAATTTTGGCCCAAACCTTGTGTGTTTTATGAAATGTAGGCACTCTAATCGTTCTCAATATGCTTAAAAAGCGTTGTAAGATATATCTAAAATGAAAAAAAAAATGTGATAAAAGAAGTTTTTGATGTTTTTTTTTAAGAGTATTGTTAAAAATTGTCAAAATCTTAAAGAATAGACATTAATTGCAAAGACATAAAGTCACATAAAATAGCAAAAAAACAACTGCTATTAGTGCAAACTTAGTAATTTGACCAGAAAAAAAAATTATTCTTACTTGATTGCGAGAAACTAATTTCGTTTTTTACTATCAGCAATGATCAACTTAGTAAATTTTAAGTAATTGACGTTTACTAGGTTCAAAGCAGATGTTACCAGTAGACAAAGCAAACTTATGATAGACCACCAAAGTAGAACTAATGAAATAAAACAAAAACTAAATTTAAATGCCTTTAATACATTATTTTTGCAGTTAAAGATGAAAAAAACAAAACATCATGAGATAATAAAGGTAAAGTTATAAAAACAAAAAAAAAACAATAAAAAAAAATAATAATAATAATTGTTAAATATTTATTTTGTTAAAAAAATGATCCTTTTAACTAAAAAAATTCATGTTTTCTTAAAAAGATAAAGACACATCAATGAAAAAAATGATTTTTAAGTTCTTTCAAATTATAGGTAATAAATAGATCCCAGCTATCTTGCATACGTTAGGCCAACGTTATTTTCTCGACAATTAAATAACTAGGAAAAGCAAAATATACTTTCTTAAAACAAAATAATTAAATATATATAAATATATTTAAATACATAAGTATGTTTTGATATAAACTATTTTATTTCATATTTTTTTGAGATTGCTCAAGTTTTTTTAATGAAAAGTCAATGTCTTGAATTGCTTGTTCTTTTCTAAAATTGCGCTTCTAAAAGAATTTGCTTTCGCAAGAACAGTAAAGTCTCTCTTTACTTCTGCTTCGATGCTTAACTTATCAGCATCAGATTTAAGAATTTCAATGCATTTTGCAACACTTTCTTTTTATTTTTTCATTACTAAAATATCTCCATCAATCAATTGGCGTTTCCTGCTTAATTCATCTACCATTTAATTGATCTTTGTTTTCTTTCAATACTATATTGTAACGATTGTATGCTAACTTACAACTTTTTAAAGATCACTAGGGAGCTCATACTGATGTATGACAATGTCATGAGAATTAATGTGGTCATAAACTATTCTTTGAGAAATAAGAGATCTCTCTTGCAGATTTTCAACCAACAATTGTTTATTAACACTGAACCCTCGTTCTATTGCACATTGGCCGTGAGATAACACAAAAACGATTACACAGACTTTCCACAGTGCTAAATACTTCGGAATTTTATGCAAATAACCAGCAAAAAATTTATCAACAGAATCAGTTAACTCGTTAAGGGAATCAAATTTTTCGTTTAATTGAACACATTCTGCACTAACAAATTCATCATATTGTTGTTTTGCATCATCAGCATTGTCAGATGATAACCATTTTAATGCACTTAATCTTTCAGCAAGAGCCTTGAATTTAAGAATGGATATTTTCTTGTTTTTAACCATTTCACTTGGAGACAAATATGAAGCATTCCTCACTAAAGAATATTTCAAGGGGGATCTTTCTTGTCATTTTTGCAATAACGCTACAATAATCTGCTTATTTTTTATTATAAATTCTAATTTCTCTTCTGATTTACAATGAAGAGAACTTAACATCTGTTTTAGTGCTGTGCCGATATCAATTTTGTTTGCATCTAGTTGGTTATTGGATTTATCTACTTCAATCTTTGTTAAACTATATGCAGTTGCAGTTTCTTTTAAAATGTTTGGTTTGAGAATCATTTTCATCAAACTTCGCAATATACTTTCTAAACTATTAGATAAAAATGCAACCATAGGTCTGTCTGTTTGAAATAGCACTAGAAACCCTTTCAATTTTTTAGCCAGATCTTTGAAAAACTGCATACGCAAAGGTACAAACTTGTGTAGATGATGATCTATAAGCCAATAACAATAAAATCCAAAAATTTAAAGGCTGAAATACTCTTAACTTATATATTAATAAAAAAAGATATAATGAATTATAATAATTTTTTTTCTTCTTAAACATGCATACTTACGGTAAAGCAAGCAGATCTGTTTCACAAACTCTAATATATTCATCTATTTTAGCTGGTGACTCTTTGAAAAGATTATACATTGCACAAAATATTTTTTCCAACTCCCACTTTTGGGAGTTTATTGCTGTCTGTAGAGCACCATGAACAATATGCAAGCTGCAACTGCCCATATTAACAATGTCAGAATATCGTTTTTCCTGCCTATGCTCATTTAACATTTTAAGAACCTCCCAATCAACATTAGGACCATCCATTGAAACTTGAATAAGTTTTCCAAGATCAAACATCTCTGTTGCTTCAATGAATTTGCCAATAAAAATTCTGTGCATTAGGGCGTCTGAAGATTTTTGAATCAATATATCTAACTTTTACAACACCTAAATTTATTTAAATATAAATATAAATAACAAAAAATAACCTGTAAAAAATATATCAGCTGCATTATGTGTCCTTGCATGCTCTTTATGCTTCTTACCAGTTGCATGTAAATCTAACGCAGATACTCCCATGTTAAAAATATTAATATCTGTTCGACACCAATTACATCTTGCTTTCTTTGAATTTAAAGAACAAAATTTTATCCAAGCTGAATACTTTTTATTGTATAGCCATTCTGTTTGGAAACGGCAGTTCTTTGTTTTAAGCATTATATTAGTGATATATATATATATATATATATATATATATATATATATATATATATATATATATATATATATATACATATATATATATATATATATATATATATATATATATATATATATATATATATATATATATATACATATATATATATATATACATATATATATATATATATATATATATATATATATATATATATATATATATATATATATATATATATATATATATATATTTATATATATATATATATATATATATATATATATATATATTAATTGTGTATTATATTTTATAAATAAACAGTATTATCATTAAGATATTATTACCATGGAGAAAGTAACATTATTTAAAATACTTATATATATATTTTTTGAACATTCTAGAAAATACATAATCGAAAATAAAAAGATAAAAACATCAAAACGAATTATTGAAATATATCAAAAAAAGTTCCAGGATTTAAAGGATTTTTTGTAAAAAAAAGTGTTTTTCCAGGATATTTCCAGGACCTTTAAAATTCCAGGACTTTTCCAGGATTTCAAGGACCGCTGGCCACCCTGAAAATATATGTAACTTTTCAAAAGGAATAGCGTTAAACCTGGAACAACTTCAACACATAAACTAATGAAGGAAACAGTTCTAAAAGTAGTTCTATATTATATTTGCAGGTTGATCATTATTTGTGTAATGCATTTGCGACATAATTATCATAGATTTTTTACTAAAGTCTACATAGCAAAAGTTTCATCTGCAACCAGTTTTTGCACAACTTATGTTAAAGAATTGTGCAAATCTTGTATTAAAGCTATTTTTAAAATTACCAACTCTTGTTTGTGAACGACAATTGATAAAAATGAAGCTTCTGGGAGATCACAAATGCTATAATTGGAATATAACATTTAGAGCAAGAAATCAAACAAAACATTTTAGACAATTAAACATGTGAAATTTTATGGAAAAAATTTTAGGAATTAATGTTTTTTATTTCTGCTATACCATACATAGTACAGCAGAAATAAAAAGCAAAACAAAGACATTTCGTTTTTTATTTCTGTTACACCATAGCAGTTTTTTTATTTCTGCTACACCATAGCAGCATAAGGTATAAAAAAGGATTAAAGAAATATATTTTGTTACACTACATTATTTACTTGTTAATATAAGACTGCTTTGTATTAAAATATAATATAGATATATATGTGTATATATATCTATATTATATTTATATAATATAGATATATATACACATGTATATGTATAATATAGATATATAGATATATATGTGTATATATAAATATATATACACATATATATCTATATATCTATAGATATATATACACATGTATATGTATAATATAGATATATATGTGTATATATATCTATATTATATTTATATAATATAGATATATATACACATGTATATGTATAATATAGATATATATGTGTATATATAAATACACAGGCCGAGGCCTGTGTATTTATATATACACATATATATCTATATATCTATATATCTATATATATATATATATATATATATATATATATATATATATATATATATATATATATATATATATATATATATATATATATATATATATTTATATATATATATATATATATATATATATATATATATATATATATATATATATATATATATATGTATATATATATATATATATATATATATATATATATATATATATATGTATATATATATATATATATATATATATATATATATATATATATATATATATATATATATATATATATATATATATATATATATATATAGATATATAGATATAAAGATATATATGTGTATATATAAATACACAGGCCTCGGCGAGAGCTTCATCTCTCGCTCCCGCCCACACTCTCCTAAAACGGTTTACGGGAGCAATTTACGGCTTTCGCAAAAGTATAACTTTTCTTACGAAAATATAATTATCGTTGTAATTAAAACAAAAAACACTATGTCATTTATAAAAAAAAATAATTGCATATTAAACCGCAATGCTTTTTAAAAAGCAGGGTTGTATATATATGTATATGTATATATATACATGTATATATATATACATATTTATGTATATATATATATATATATATATATATAAATATATATGTATATGTGTATATACATATACATATATACATACATATATATATATACATGTATACATATACATATAAAATATATATATAAATATATATATATATATATATATATATATATATATATATATATATAAATATATATGTATATGTGTATATACATATACATATATACTTACATATATATATACATGTATATATATATATATATATATATATATATATATATATTATATATATATATATATATGTATATATACGTATATATATACATATATATTTATATATATATATACGTATTAACAATTTGCGATATATATATATATATATATATATATATATATATATATATATATATATATATATATATATATATATATATATATATATATATATATATATATATATATATATATATATATATATATAATATATTATTCGCAAATTGTAAAAAAAGTAGGTATTGTGTTAGTAGGAAAGTTTTTTATTAAATTTAACACACAATTTACAATTTCAATTAATTTATTTAGCGTTTGCAGCATTGTTCGTTTTTATAACTTTTCAATTGAGCCGTGTTCGTGATTCTCTTAAAAACTTTAAAACGCTTGAATGACAATTGCAAATTTTTGCATCATGATGCTGTCGTGTAATCGCATTTTTATCAAATCAAATTTTATAAAAAGTTCAAATCAAATTTGATAAAAATCGAAACGTAGAAATTAGTTAATAGAAAATAGAAAGAAAATAGTTGAATAGTTAATAGAAAATAAAAAGAAAATAGTTGTATAAATGACTGACTGGGATAAACAAAATATATTACCTGCAAAAAAAAAATCTAAAAAAATGCAAAAAATCATTCTCACCTACTATCATATGATACAGGGTGTATATTTTAAAATTTGTTTTCAATGAAGGCAGGCCCTAGCGTCGTCGCTCTTCAAAAATTTCCAATAGCAAAAGCCGATTTATATGGAGTGTTACCTCCACAACGACTAAGAGAAGTCATCTATTATTAGAAAAATAAAAAATACTCAAGAGTCTTTCGCAAAATACGTCACACATATCGGGGAACGGCGGTCATTGATTTTGTTTCACTCTGAGTGGAAAGAAGGCAAATAATTTGTGACCTCACAATTAATTTTAAAAACTGCATAAAATGAAATTATAAGCTACTTTTGCGACTTTTTAGATAAACAAATAATTGTTTAACAAAAACACACAAAAATTACGTTTCGTGACAAGGACAAGAAATTTAATAAATTGTGACACTTTCTGACTAAGGGGGGAAGGAGGGGGTATAAAACTTGTAATGCGTGACGTTATTTGCAAATGAACCCTTATGTTTTATTTAAAATAAAAAATAATTATATAACATTGAAACTTATATTATTAACTTTCATTTCATAATAATTATGTTGTTATCAGCAGCAACTCACCACTCTACTCTTAAAAATATTGCTAGCCTTGACTTTATAAGTAAATTCACATCAGATTATGACCACTCTACTCTTAAAAATATTGCTAGCCTTGACTTTATAAGTAAATCCACATCAGATTATGTAAGGCATCTTTCAAAAATGAGTTCTGTAGATATAGAGTTAGCGCTCACTGTTGATGTAGGCTGCTGTAGCAATACTTATTTATCTACAAAATTTGAAAAAATTGAATTCCTTATTTTTAACATCACACAACAAATGCAAAGCTCCTAACTCCAAAATTTAACCATTGAATAGAATATAGAATAAATTATACTACAGGGGTGTGGAGGTTATCGCAGAAAAATAAAAATATTTATATCTCAAAAATGGCTTTTATTTTCAAAGTAAAACTTTTCACAATACCAAATCACATATATTTTTAATCAAAAACACTAATGAATTTCAAAGTAGCTTCCTTTGGCATCAATGACACTCTTCAAACGCTCTGGAACTGACTCACAGCATCGTCGCACTATGTCCGGACTAAGATTCTTCTAGATCTTCTTTAATTCGTTTCGGAGGGCTGCCAAATTTAGATATGTTTTGGCTGCCTTCTTGGTCTCCATGACACTCCATATAGCAAAATCCATAGGATTAATGTCTGGGCTTGAAGGGGGCCACATATCTGGGGTCCAAAGGTGCGGAACATTTTCTTTCAAAAAGCTGACAGTTTTCTTTGCACTGTGTGCTGCACTAACCTGCATAAAGGCCCATGGATCGTCCCTAAATTTCTTTTTGGCCCAAGGAATGAGGTTAGCTTTGATGAAGTCGACATAGGTCACCTGGTTGACTTTTACACCTTCAGGAACAAAAACAAGGGGAGTTTTTGACCCATCAGAGCACACACCTGCCCAAACCATGACGCCCACAGGGTGCTGTCTCTTTGGAATAGTCCTCAGTTCCAAAGGAACTGTTCTTCTTGACTTACCAAGAACTCTGTCATTGTATCTGTTGGGTTCTGGTTCAACTGTGAAAATTTTTTCATCACTGTAAACAATAGGGACATCTTTGTGATCTTTGAACCAATTTAGTAACTCTTTTGATCTTTTGCGTCTTTTGGCTTTAGTTGCCTCACTCAGAAGTTGTCTTTTTGACTTGACAAGGCTCTTCATACCCAGATCATCGTGGACATCGTTGCATAGTTCTTCGAGACACACCTGCTTCTCTAGCTAAGGATGAAATTGACCTGTTTGGGTTTCGTCGTACTTTGCAGTCGATCAAATTTCGAAGTTCTTTAGTTCTCACATAACGATTTGGGCCTGTTTTTTTTCTTTTGTAATTTTTTCCAGTTTCTAAGTCTTTTAAGAGTCTGTAGAGTTGGAATTATGAAGCTGTCCCTTCACGGCTTTGCAAATTTCAACTTTTTTCACACCACGTTTCCATAGATCAAAAACAAGTTTTCTTGCATTTTCATTTTGCGTGCTGTCAAATCGTGCCATTTTTTACAACTAAATTAGTGAAAAACTGCATTTTTTAAGGATTAACTCGTTGAACTTTGTTGCATTTTCCCGCCAAAAATGTTTTTCACTGTATATTATATTTTTTGCCGCGAAATTTTTGTTTTCATTTTTTTCTGCGATAACCTGCGCACCCCTGTATATATTTGCAAAACAAGTTGAGTCTTGAATCTTGAAATAGCACAATTTTTAAACTAATCTTTTTTTTTCAAATAAGATGTCACTGTGTGAGATTGGAGACTTAGGGTAAGTATTTGGTGCTGCCCCTCTATTATAAGACCATACCTTAGAATTGCAGTATAGTAATCTATCATTGTCATAAAAAAATATCAAAAATTTTGCTATACAGTTTAACACAACTTTTTGAAAATTAAAAAAATAAAGTTATGAAATAAATAGCATTTATTATTAGTAATGTAAAATATTTTGTAAAAAATTAATTTTAAAAAATTACCTAAATGGAAAAAATAAATTAAACTTGAAATGGAAAAAATAGATAAAACTTTACTTAACACATTGAAATTTACATTCTTGAAAATTTAATTTACCTTGACAAGATAATTGTGTTTCTCTGCTATCCTCTATACCCAAAACACTTTTAGAGCCATTTTCTATCTAGGTAGATAAATTAAACATACAAAAATTAAACAAAACTTTTTAATTATTATAAAGTGATTTTTATTTTAACTTGTCAACAAACATATTTATCAACAAAAATTATATTCTATAACATATTTCTGATTTCTATTAATTTTTTTACTGCAGATGCACACAGGTTTTAAGCAGAACAAAAGCAACATTAAGACATTTTTTTACCAATATATTTGAAGACAACATCATTTTTTCTTGAGATAGATTTTTTTCTTTTGCAAAGTCAATGATGTCTATAATTCAGTAAAACAAAAATAATGTCTATAATTCAGTAAAAAAAAATAAACATAATTATTTTAACCAACCATTATTTTACTTTAACAAAAATAGTTAACCTGCTATATTTGGAATAATGTTAGATATGGCTATTTGAACTCTTCAAAAATTGTCTTCCGTATAATTCTTCACCTCTAACAACAATATCTTCATCACTTTCACAGAATGCCATTGCCGCATTTCTCCTTTAATATAAACTTTACTTTATAAACACAAAAAGCCCATGATTTGTGTAATTCTTTATTGCAAAATACCTTTTTTTATTAAAAAATAATTTTATAAAAAATAATTTATTAAAAAATAATACTTTTGCTTAGTCCCTTATTCTTCTTCAGTGTCAGTTTCAATATTCGTCGTATCTGCTGCTTTTTCTAAGCGCGACCGAGCTTCATCATAAAAATCTATACACATATTTATATACGTAAAATCACTTATCAATATCTAATAAAAATATAATTGAAATGTTAATGACATAAGCAGGCCCTATGAGAATGGGTGCGCCACATTAAAATTAATGAACTTTAAGGAAAAACCCATCTAAATTAATAAATATTTTAGTTCTTGAAAAAAACTTTTTTTAATTATAGGAAATCTTAATTAAATATTCTAAAGATATTCAGAACATATATTTTAAACAAATGCCGATAAGAATAATGGATATATATAAGTGGTATAATACAAGAGAATAGTTATAGTGTAAATGGGGCCCAAAAATAAATTTGTACCAGCACATGTTTATCCTCTCCAATGCCCAGGGCAAAACATACACTTCACTATCTAACTCAATTATTTTACATTTTATTATAGCAATATGCAAATCTGTGGAGTATGAAATACTAACTGGGTATATTTTCCCAGATAATCTATGCAAACCTTGAGAGTATGAAATCCTAACTAAGTATATATTTCCCATTATTTTTCATCCAACTTTTAGCAATCACTTCCACTTCTTTAATTTTTCTATTTAAAAATTCAACAATAGCAAACGACATTTCAATATCTTGACACAATTTAATTCTAATCAATCTTATATAAGAAAAATTAATGTAAGTTACAAAATAAAACAAAAATTACATTAGATATAGATCAAAAACAACGAACATTGTGCAAGGCTTTTTAGATTTATAAATGTATAACACCACTGTAAACAATTTATTATTTCATTATTTCATATTATTTCATTTTTTATTAACATAACAGGTATTTGTTTCACACAAAAAATTTATAAATTAAAATGAATTAAACTCACTTTAACATATTCAATGAACTATATATTCGACACATTTATAACAATTTATATTACAAAATGACACATGCTCAAACATTCTTTACAAATTTATGGTCTTCAAATATAATCAAAATTTGTCTTTATTAAATCAAGAAATCAGTAATCACAATGTCTCAGCAGAAAAAAACCATAACCACCTTTTTGAATGGGTATCATCAAGCCTTTTTTTTTTTTTTTTTTTTTTAATTATTTTTAGGTTGGCTAATGAACTTACATAACAAACATCTAAATAAGATGTTTCAAAGCAATATTGAAAAATTTTTTGAATTGAATGAGGATTTTGTTTCTTGCATTTTACAAGATCTACCAAAATTTCTTCGACTAAAATAAATCCTTTGTCTTGAATGATATAGACTCTCCCTCGCAGATTTGATGTGATGTTTTTATTTACCAATTGGACAATAATTTTTTAACCATTTCTTTCTCTAAGAAAAATATTCAACTTTTTTCTCTCATCTAAGTGGGCAACAGTCTGATGCCATTTTCGCACCATTTTTTTAATTCAACCCAAACGGCTTTCAAAAGGAAAAGCTGATAGATGATCAAGACTTTCCCCAAAGTTAACACAATCATCAGCTAAACGAATCATGCTGTGAACATTGTATGTCATAAAGTTCTCTCCATACAAAATTTGAACTTCTCTAGCAAACCATGTAAACAATTGCTTAGCATATGCCACTAACAATTCATTTTTTACCTTTTTATCAGAAAGCAGTATGTGCATAGCAATTGAAAGTGAAATAATTAAGTCATAGTTAGTTTTATTTATTTTTCCTTTTAACACAGCAGGTCTAGCATAAAGTAGAAAGAATCGAAACTCTGTTGCTTTCCACTTCTCAAGTTCATTTAAGGAATGTGGTCTGCGTTGAAAACTGGATGGCGTATAACTTCGTAAAGTTATGAGCTCATTTGAAATACTGTCCTTAACAGATTGACTTATTCTAATACATCTGGGACCTTTACACCAGTATATCAGAAGTTTTTTAACTACTCTAAAACATAAGGGGCATATAGTCTAGTGGGAATCTAGTTACCATAAGAAATTTAACTGAACATGCAGAGAAAGAATCTCGAGTTGGTGACCTTCTTTATAAAAATTATTTTTAAAAGCCATCGGTGCGAAGTGAAGCATTTGTTTCTAATAATCTTACACCATGATTTTGAGTGCCAACTACTATACATCTTTAACAGCTATGGTAGCCACTATGCCCTATAATGCATTTAACAAATGCTCTTGCAGGTGCATCACAAGCAAAAGCTTTAATAGTTACCTGCAAGTGTTTTTACCCATTCGTTTGCAACTTTTTCATTTTGAGAATAAAATCTTTAAAGAAGTTATTCAAATTATTTGGTTTTCCCTGACCATACCAAATTGAAACAGCATATGATCCTTTTCTTAATTGTAATTAGTATAGGCAAAATGGAAGTCTTTTTACTGTTGTACATAGGTGCACCATCAATACTTACAATTATATCAAGCTTTTCCTTATTTCCAACTGTTGATATATAATAATCAATTGCACTCTTAACTCCAATATATATATAATCACCTCCACTGACATATAAAATATCAATTTTTTGAAGAGATTTTTGTAGTGTCTGCCTGCATTTCGGTAAGGATGGAGTAAATTTATTTAAGTGATACAAAAGTGCATTTAAAGCATCATCTTTTATACAGTATTTTATTGACCACTCACATAAAAAATCTTTTGTTAAAGTTATAGAGTATGAATACTACTGGATAAACTATTTCCAACTGCTATGTCATCATTATTACCATAATTAGATTCAGTATTACTTAAAAAAAAAAAATCATTTTCAGGCGAAGTGATAGAAAACATCAACATATCGCTGTACACATCTTCAGAAACTACATCACTGTGCAAATCTAGATGAATCTAGATGAACATTACTCTTTCTACCAACAATATTGCACTCTTCAAGAAGTTTTTTTCAGTATCTCTGTATTCTTTCATAAATTCCCTCGTGTATAGGCTTCTGTCACGTTTAGGCATTGTAATCTTTATCTTATAAAAAGATAAAAATAAATAAATTATTGTTCATATACAGAAAAAAATCAATTTAAATTAAAAAATCAGTAGCATTTTGAACTGATTGAAATATTATTTTTGAAATCATAGTTACAAACCGAAACTAAATTTAAATCATAGTCACAAATCAACAGCAACTTGTTAAGGCTAATTATAAAAGCATTGCTGTTATCATAACAAATTAATGTTTATGACTGCAAGTATTTGCCTGATAAATTTTGACTGCAAACTTAATTTGATATTATAACAGTAATGTTAGTAAAATAAGCCTTATTAAAATACTGCAATTTTGTGACTTTTGCATGGTAAATTGTAAAAAAATTGCAGAACTTGGACAAAAATTTTCGAACACGAAAACAAAGTTACAATGACCATGACCGTTATTGTTCGAAAAGTTTTTTTATGGAAAAAGAACAAACTGAGAAGAATATATTCGTGAATGGTTAGTGTATTCTCCTTCAAAAGGTACTGATTTTTGCATTGTATACACTATTTTTAAAATTTCCAAATTCGGTCCTTGCAACAAAATTGATTGAAGGAAATCTAGCCTTTAGAGGTTCGAATGAAAGATTTGGCATTGAAGGGAGTGGAAATTTCTTAGGACTACTGGAATTAGTTGCGAAATTTGACCCTTTTTTAGCTGAACATATTAAAAATTATGGTCACGCTGGTTCAGGACACACATCGTATTTCTCCAAAACTGTGAATGATGAACTTGTTTCATTAATGGCGAAAAAAGTACTCGAGGCTATAATTGGCGAAGTAAAAAAGTCGAAGTATTATGGAATTTCAGTAGATTCCACACCAGATATATCTCATAAAGATCAACTCTGTGTAATTGTGAGATATATAGAGCAAATTTCCTTCGAACCCATTGAAAGATTTTTTTAATTTGTAACACCAGAAAATCACTCTCACTCTTAGAACTCTTGCCGATACCACCGTCGATATTTTGACCGTCGATGCAGGATTAAATTTCTCAGATTGCAGATCTCAGGCATATGATAATGCATACAATATGACCGGAAAATAAAAAGGCATGCAAACAAAACTTTGGAATAGAATAATCTAGCAAAATTTTTACCATGTGCTGGACACTTTATTAAACATTTTATTGTTAACTTTAGATTAGTAAAAATAAAGAAATAATTAGTGTTGCTTTGATAAATATGTTTAATGAAAATGATGACATTGAAATGGATGATAGGCTAGATGAAGTTATGTATTTACAAGATAAGCTATAAGGCGTGTTGAAAATAATCGTAGACGAAATGGAAGAAATAGACTTGAGCGAGATGAAATTAATCGTTTACAAAATGAAAGAAATAGGCTAGATCGAGATAATGGTAATCGTCGCCAATTATTTAGGAGAAATGAATTAAATTTGTTAGCACTGTGGTGCTAAGAAATTTCCAGATGAAACACATTTTCTATGTTGCCATAATGGTAAGGTAGCTTTGCCTCCACTTTCACCAATTACACAAGCTTTACAGGATTTGGTTACAGGGAGTTATGTAGATCGTAATGCTAATGCTAATTTTTTAAAACATATTCGAAATTATAATGCCTGCTTTTCTTTTTCTTCTTTTACAGCAAATGTAGCTCAACCAATGAATCATGGGCTTCCATGTTTTAAATTATGTGGCCAGAATTTTCATCGTGTAGGTAGTCTTAGGCCAGATCAAGATATTCCACCAATATATTCTCAACTACCCAAGTAGCAAACAATATTGGCGTAATATTGGCACGATATTGGGTATCTTGGCTAATCTTGGCCAAGATATCCGATATTGCGCCAATATTGTCAAGCAATATTACCCCAATATTGTCTTACGAATATTGGCAAACAATATTGCGCCAATATTATCCATTATCGTTTTACTGATATTGTTATGCCAATATTGGCGAAATATTGCTTGCCAATATCGGCTTTATATTAAATTTAACATATTGGTTCGCATGCGTAACATTAAGGAATATTCATAATGTCCTTTAGTTTTGTTAAATGTGTTTTAATGTAAATAATAGCATCTTTTTACATAAACAGCAAGGCCTGTCGACT